GCCTGCACTAGGAATCGGATCCGGTGGAAGTCTGCCTGCATGATGTTTGCCCAGGTGACCTTGCGCTGCAAGGTGCTCTCCCACCTTGTCCATGCTCCCTGCCGCTTAAGGCCTACAGCTCTACTTACTCGCTCCTCCTCCACACCTGCTCGGACCTCTTCCTGGAGTAGCTGGTGTCTCTCCTCTCCCTGAGTTCCCGCCTCAATTTTACATTTCCAACAGAGATAGTCAGGCATAAGCTTCATACAGTGTAATCTTGTTGGAGTATAATAATATCTATGCAGAATTTTATATTGTATGCATTTGCTCCTCGCCTCCTTAACATAAATCCCATTTTCTGCCAAAATGCCCATCCATTTTTTGTTTGAAATTGGTGCATTTAAATCTTTCTGCCACAAAAATGTAATGTTCGAACATTCCCCACTTGTGTTATCATTTACCAACCTATAAAAACATGATGCTGTGTGGTGCTCCTGAGGCATATTTATAAAATTTAGAACAAGATTTTCATGTCCCCTTCTGAACTTCGATGTCACACAGTGTCTAATTTGCAAATTTCTCCAGAAATTTTCCTTCCCTTCCAATTTGTATGTTTGAACAAGGTCTCTATAGGACATAAATTCCCCATCTTTAAATAAGTCACTAATAACATTTATGCCATGAGACTGCCACAGTTTCCAAAACATTTTTTTTCCCTATACGAATAGCTGGATTGTTCCAAAGAGATCAGTAAAACTGCACATGAGGTGATATCTTAAGAATTCTATGTATATTGAGCCAAACCTGGCTAGAATGAAACAAAATTGGGTTCGTTGAAGTGCAGCTTTGAGACAGCATACCTTTTGGATCAAAAGGAGTATAAATCTCAGACTCTATACTTAGCCATTCCTTTCCGGCTGGATTTTTTTCCCAGTAATTAACCAATTTTGCCATCTCGAACGAGACTGAATATAATCTTGGATCAGGTAAACTTAATCCACCCTTCTCTCTAGGAGCATATAATTTACTTAGCTTGATTCTTGCCCTTTTCCCATCCCACAGAAACTCCTTAATTAAGTTTTCACACTGTTTAAAGAGACCGGGCGGTATCGCAATTGGTAACATCATTACTACATAGTTAAATTGGGGAGCTATAATCATTTTTACAATATTTATTTTGCCCCACAATGAGATTTTTAATTTGCCCCATTTTTCTATATTTGTTTTTATTTTTAGAAGGACTGGGTCAAAATTAAGTTTGGGTAGGTCCTCCATATCTTGGTTTAGTCTAATCCTGAGATACTTCATCCCTCTAGGTACCGATTTAAAATTGAATTTTTCTACCATGTATGGATAGCATAGTGGGGATAATGGCATTACTTCAGACTTTCCCCAGTTAATAGTATAACCTGACAGCTCAGAGAACGCCTTTGTGGTGTCCATTAAATGCGGCACTGATAAGAATGGATCTGTTATAATAGCAAGAATATCATCAGCATAGAGGAGGAGTTTGTGTTCCTGCTGCCCACCTATGACGCCTTTAATCTCCTTGTTTGATCTGATACTCACTGCCAATGTTTCTATAAAAATTAAGAACAAAAGGGGGCTTAAAGAACAGTGCTGACGAGCTCCACGTGACAAACTAAAGAAGGATGAAACCATACCATTTGATATTACCGCCACCTTTGGTTCTTTGTATAGCACTTTAACCCAGTTTAGAAAGTGTGGACCAAACCCGAACCGCAACAAGGTTGAAAAGAAAAGCTCCATTCAACTTTGTCAAAAGCCTTCTCTGGAGGAGAAAGCTGCTATCTTTAGACTGGCTCAACTATATCAAAAGGAGTAGCTTTTGAATGTCATCTGAGGAAGAGCGTGTTTTCATAAATCCAGTCTGATTTGGATGTATGATGACACCCAGAACCCTAGACTCTCTGACTACTGAAGCTGCATTTTTGTGGTCAGCGGGTTTTTGAGCTGTAACACTGTCACAGAGTTAAAGGTGCCTATAACAGATTAAAGGCGAGTTTTCTGCAAAACTGCTTTGGTTAGTGTATGATGGTATGCATGGTTCCATGTTAGCTCCATAATATTTTGTCTTTATAGAAGCTGTTTAATAAAAACATGGTTAGAGGAGCCTTGGAAGCACTTATTGAATGCATGGAAGACTTACTGGCCAGGCCTCCTGATCTAAGCCTTTTTAACCCCCACATATGGAAGTTGGAAACTGATCTGTGTCTTCTTCCTGTCCTTAGACGTACACACACACACACACACACACACACACACACACACACACACACACACACACACACACACACACACATTAGGGCAGAGAGACACCTTCAGGCTGGTTTGCCTCTCATCGTCGGCTCCTCCATCTTCATTTTTTTCCCCATTTCCCCCTCCAGCTGTACTCATTACTCTGTAGATGGGATGGGGGGCCACCGATTGCGTGAGTGAGTGTGGGTTGTGTCTTCAGGGCTTTCTCTCTGACACCTATCTGTTTGCATTCAGACATTTGGCAGTGGTGAAGGGCCAGCTGGCTACCAATCTCCTCGATTTTACTCGTCTTGCTCTCGTCTGAGGGGATTTCAGATGAAGCGTTGGTCCGATTTGTTCTCCGATGACACGCTGAGCTATAATCCCGTAATGTATTTCTGAGGGATGCTGAAACACTAGATATTGCAGAAGGCCTCTTAGTCCCTGAAGTGATAGTGTAGGAATAGTGGCATGACATCATCGCAGGTAAAAATACCACAAAGTGCTACACTGTAAGCCTCCATGGGAATATTACTATAAGTACGGCTGCAGTTATCAGGTTTAAATGTGCAGCCAGACTGAGTGAGAGATAAACTCCTGTGGAGAGCTTAGAGGGGATCATTTCTTAGCGAAACTGATGGGCTGTGTTTAACTTGACTTACAACGTGACTTCAGGTCAATATTCAACATAATATACAGGTTTATTTGGGGGGAAAGGCATTCTCTGTTCCAAGGAAGTTGTCACCCCTATTATGTGTGTTAGTGAAGGAGGATGATTATTACACAAAACTTCTAGATACACATTAACTAACACTTTCTGGACTTCATGGGGATGGACTCTCATGAATACACGGGGCTCTGTGCCCAACTGTTCACTCAGTTCACTCCACCCCACAGTTGTTGGCTAGTGGGGTGGAGGTAAGCTTGGCAGTTTTCTTGAAGAGTTCTGAGTTCTGTTGGTTCATGATTTATGATCAAGTCCCAGGCTGTTAGTTCTTTTAATTTTAATATTATATCCTGGCTTATCTTTGTTTCTAGTCCTTGGTTCCTGTGTTGAGTATGAGATTTTGGAGTTAAGGTCTGTTTCTGTATCATATCATGACAAGAGCTTGCAGTAAAGTACAGCCACACAGATGTTCCCTTTGCCCACAGTGTAAAGTATTCTGCTACCCTGATGAATCGCATGCATAAAAAAAACAAGTAATTTCCTTCCTCAACCTTGAGATTTAAATTTTGTGCTGAGAGCTTATGTAGCAAGCTAGACATTACAGGATGTCTTCATGTGTGATGTGATTGGTTGTCATTCACATTTACCTGTTACTACAGGCTACAGTGTGACTTCCCTTTTATGATAATCCTGTAGGTGTGTGTTGTCGGCTTGCACCTGTTTGCATAATCTGATTACCTTTTTCTTTTTGTCATTAACAAAACCATGAATTCAAATAAAGTAGTTAATGTAGCTGAATATGAATAACCATGAGCTGGTAAAAGCAAACATCATCTTTTTGTGTTTACAGTAAAAAAAATAAAAATAAACTTGAGCTTTCTTGTAAATGTGGTGTCCTGACTGAAGGCCTAAAAGAAAAAGAAAAAGAAAATGAATATTATAAATAATAAAATTATCTTTGTTTCTAATGAGCAGTGACAGGAAAAAGGATTACAGTTAAAGCTTGCTGCTGCCTATTTTAAGCTAAAGTTTTCAGCTATTGTGGATTTCAGCACCATGGACAGCTCTGCTTAAACTGACACTTGATGTTTTCATTATTATTTTAATATTTTATAAATGTTTTTGGAAAAAAAACTTTATCACCGTGCACTGAATCTGAAAACTCTTCAAACTGTGTTTTGGATTTATTCTCTTCACTCAGTATCTCTCCACATACTCTTATTTCCACACTGGTATATGTCCCAAAAAACACAAAACAAAATGAAACAACTCAGAGTCAGAGTAATATAAATTTTGGCTTAGTCCAGCATATGAGTAGCAGTACACTCTTCATTTACAAAAGTCTTTATGCTATATAAGTAATTCTTATTATTTATCTTCAGTTCACTTTAGTTTCTGTCATTTTAGAGCACAGATTTGTTTGTTTTAGTTGCCTTATTATTTATTCATCTTAAGTTTATTTGTGTTAGGCTCTGTTTAGTTTTTATTAGTTTCAGTGACAGTTTCAGTTTTTAAAAAAATCATTTTAATATTTGTGGTGTTTTTAAACTATTTATATTAATAATAATAATAATAATAATGGATTGGATTTATATAGCGCTTTTCAAGGCACCCAAAGCGCTTTACAATGCCATTATTCATTCACTCTCACATCCACACACTGGTGGAGACAAGCTACGGTTGTAGCCACAGCTGCCCTGGGGCAGACTGACAGAAGCGAGGCTGCCAAATCGCGCCATCGGCCCCTCTGGCCAACTGGAGTTGGCCAGAGGGGCCAACTGGTGTTGGCCAGTATACATTAATTAATAGTTTCAGTAATTGCTATTGTTTAATGACTGTTATTAATTAGTTTAATAATTATTAGAAATGTTCACATAAAGCTTTTAGCATGTAAAGCAAAAATGAATTAAACAAGCAAAATTAAGAAGAAAAATAAAAAATGAATTAAACACAAAAAATAGCGACAGTTATTGACGAAAAAGGTGTTTCCTGTGGAAGGACTTTTATTTTGAAGCTGTTGCCGGAACCTCGTGTTGATTGTTAGCAGCTTTGTGGCTCGCGCAGCTAAAATCGTCGCGCGGCAGGTTTGTGATGTTATTACCGGGCAGAGACAGACCGAGACTCCGAGACGATGACGGCCGCCAGCAAGAAGAAGCCCAAAGAGTCTCAGCAGGATGAGGTGGGATGACTCGCTAAAACCACACAGCGACACAGACAGACATCTTTATTTTTAATTTTTTTATTTTTATTTCTAGCTCTAATTAGATAACGTTCAGGCGCGTGTGGTCTGCGCGATAGCTACAGTGGACAGGGACCCCGCGCTTTATTTTAAATCAAATTTTAACGAAATTGTTTATATTTTACTTGTAAGAATCAAATCTGTAGAAGTTTATATTTTCCTTCAAGGAGCTTTCCTTTTCCTCCTTCCTCTCAGTAATTTCACACTTTTCCAACTTCAGCCTGAATCCGCGGAGCTCAGGCACGGCTGCAGCGGCACAGCGAGCCATCAGAGCCGGCTGACAGGGATGCAATGTTCGCGGTGTAACTCCAACAGGTTGTCCATGATCATGTAAATAATTCAGGGCGCGTTTGTGGGAAAAACAGGCCGGGAGCTCCGTTTGTGGCGACGCTGGTGACTTTGAGTCCTGTTTTGTAGATGCTTTGGCTTCGCAGTTCTTTAAGTTTCCTCGGGTTTGTTTTTGCGTCTTTCTGATCAAATTGTTTCGTTTTTAGTTGTTTGTTTGTTAGTTTTTTAGATTCTTTCGTGTGTTAATCTGCTCAGTCTGCGCATAATTGTTGTGTATTCATCACATGACACAGACAATAATAACAGGTACAGCATATTTATGGTTGAGTGGTGCAAAGATGTTGGAATAGATTAGGAATGGATAACTCGTTGCTACATATACAGTATATATTGACTATTAATAAGTATATAAGTGGTATACAAACATGTACAGCAGAATAAAATATTCCCATGTTCATTTTCAGTGTTTATGTTTCGTTTTGTGTCTCTTCATTGTCATCTTTTTCATGTTTTGGTGATTTTGTGTCTTTTTTGTTGTTGTTGCTTTGAGCCTTTTTAGTCTTCCTGTTCATCTTCTTTCTTACTTCTTGTGTTTGATTCCCTTTTGTCTCATTTTGGTGGTTTTGTGTCTCAGTTTTTGCATCTATTTTTTTTTCATTATTTTCAGTCTTGTTGTGGTAGATCTGGCAGGTTTTTGAGTTTAAATGTTGTGTGTCTTGTTCTTTATCTCTTCATTGTCATCTCTTTTGATTTTTGTTTCTCATCTTTTTGTGGGAGTTTCTGCCTGTGCTCTTACTGTTTATTTTAAATCCTTTGTGTCTCGTTTTTGCATTTTTGTATTTCTTCCTGCTCAACTTATTATTTCTTAATTTACTTAGTAAATGTGTCACATTTTGACTCTCTGTGTGCTAGTTGTGTCTAAATCCTGTCTCCATTTGCTTGTTTTTCATCATTGTGGTAGATCGTGGTGTTTTCTAGTTTAAATGTTGTTTGTCTCATTTAGTGTCTTCATCGGGTCATTTTAGTTTGCTTTTTGTTCATCTTTATTCTCATTACTGTCACGTGTTTGTGGTAGCTTGGCATTTATGAAGCCTTGTGTCTAATTTGTCGTCTCTTTGAGTTTGATTGTCATTGTAGCTCCTGTTTTAGTAAGTTCGTGGGGTTTTTTTGTCTTTCTTTTGCTCATTTTCAGTGTTTTGTGTGTCACTTGAAATCAAATTGTGCACATTTGTTGCTAGTTTTTCGGTTGTTTTGGATCTTTGAGGAGCTTTGTGCCTCCTTCAGTCGGTCTGTTTTGCACATGGATGTAACCAGGGTTTAGAAATTAGTGTGGTACAGATAATGTTTTTGCCGTTACGCTTTGCTCTTTTGCAAGAGTGACTATGTCTGTAGAAACATGCAAGATGAAATAACAAAAGTAGAGAATTATGGCTTCATTTAAAATGAAAACAGCACAAGGGAGGAAGTTACTTACTCGATGGCTCCTGTCCTGCTGTGCCTCTGATTCACTCCTCCTGTCTAAACCAACCAGTTATCATTTCTCATGAGTCATCGGCCTAAACGCGGCCCAATCAGGCGCGGTGTAGGGTGGGCCATAATGCTGTAGAACTGAAGTCTTTTCAAAGTAAAAGCCACCTATAGCATCTCGTCTCTCCTAAAACATCTGAATCTGATATCCCGAGCCTCTTTGTGGTAATTTTGCATATCTGTGGTCATCGTTGTTTACATTCGTGTACCAAATTTTGTATTTGCACTTGTTTATGCCCCATTTTACTAATTTCTGACCTACTTATGGTAGTTTTGTGGTAAAACTGTTTCTCATTTTGTATTTCTGTGTTACACCTTATTTTGTGTCATTGGCTCGCAGAGATGTTATCTTTGTCTTATCTGTTATCTGTTGTTTACTATCTTTGGAGTAATTTGTTGTTGCTCTTTTATCTCATCTAAGTAATTTTGTATTTGTTTCTGGATGTGTTTCATGGACGCTCTGCATTCTTTTCCCCACCAAACAATAATCTTGATTTTATTTTGGGTCTAAAAGTTGATTTTTATTTATTCCCTGTGAGTTTGAAGTCTGTTTTGCAAGAGAAATAAACATGCAAAAAGAATGCAGCTTAGAGTTTTCTGCATAAGAACAGATTCTTTTGCCTTTAAAACACCAGGAAACGATAAGTCTCAAAACATTTACTACCATGCAAGAGAAGGATGAGCCGAAAATGATCAATTTGAGAACATTTTGGGCATTTTTAGCTTGAAGAAAGACTCAAATGTCAAATCAGTTGACACGACTTGGATTGATTTGGTTTACTGATTAAATCACTAAGCGCCTGCTCTACAAAAAACTAGCACACAACAGGAAAAAGTAACTGTACAAAAACATTTAAGTTTTTACAGATACTTAATTTACTCGGAAATAATCCCTCCTTATTGTTTTTTCAGTCTTGGCCTTTGTCTTTGCATTTTTTTTTGTCTGTTTTTGGTGTCTGTTTGCTTAAAGTGACTGGATAATACTCCTGGTAATAATGTCTTGGGTTTTTATTTCGTGGCATAAAACGTGTCCTTGCCTTATTATGTCCGAGGTCGATCTGAGAGGCTGGAAATTATAGCCTTGGCTTTCAGCAGGTTCGGTTTGTCGATGTGTGTCTTTGCATCTGTCCCTTTAACTCTCTTCAGTGTATCCTCAGCACACAAACACCGACACGCATGCTTTGATTTGCTCGCCTGCCTTACTTCCCACTGAAGGGAGTTTGATCAGCAGACTGTTGCAGTGAACTGTGTCTGCTGAAGCACACTCACACTGTGAGCGTACGGTGAATTAGCTCCGAGATGTTGAACCAAACTCAGAGAGGAGTCGATGGCCCAGTGGTGTGCAAAGGAAGCTCTACCCACTGCTGAGCGTGTCTGAGGTTTTCCTGCTTCGGTAATTGAACAGTTTCACCTCTCACAGCAGTGGATGTGATATAGATTGTTCTGGACACGTTTGTGCCTTTTATACTAAGCATCACACAGATTTATTCAAAGTGGGTTTGTCATAATAATCCTTCAATAACACTAAAGTCGGCATCCCGCAGCAGCGTGCAGCGATATGAACAGAAGATGAAAGTGTTGTTCATCACAGAAGATCTCAAAAAGATCTAAAAAAAAAAGAAGGTTTACTTAGTTTACTTAAACTGGTGAATCTGTATCCTACCAGAATGAAATCGCCGCTAGTGCTTTCTCGTTGAGGCACAAACTGTTTTTACAAGTATTAGGTCGGTTTAGCTTCACACTGCACAAAATCAAACCCTTTCTACATCACTCGATTAATATCACAGCTTTTTTTCCAGTCTTAAACAGTTGTGTGCTTGACTGACAATAGATTTAAGACTTTGTATATAACCTTACCAGCCACTTTATTAGGTATAACTTGCTAGTACTGGGTTGGACCCCCTATTTGCCTTCAGAACAATAGATTCAACAAGGTGCTCAAAACATTCCTCTGAGTTTTTGATCCATATTGACACGATAGCATCGCACAGTTAGTTGTGTAGTTGTGCTCTCATGTGTATGTGTGGGTGGTCATATTTAGAAAGGTTTGTGGCTGTATTTTTTTAGATTTATACAAGAATTGTGTAAAATGAAAAAACTGGGTGTATACTGTGAAAATGCATTGGTTACGTTTGTTACCTTTCAGACTGAATCTATACTCACCAAACATTTTATTAGGTACACCTTGCTAGTAAAGGGTTGGGACCCCTTTTACCTTCAGAGCTGTCTTAAGTCTTCATAACAGAAATTCAGCAATACTCTTTAAAGACTTAATGTAACTAGAGCCAGTGATCCAGATCTTAGTTACTCTTTGGTCCTTGTGTGGTTTCATGAGTCTCCACAAACAACAGAAACAACATCCAAACAAAGTGGAGCTCAGAGCAAAGCTCAGGAGCCGAATAGACATGTTCTCCATTCTGCTGAAGGTCACAGTGGATCAGCTGTACACTGAACATTATGCAGCATGTTTGGGGTCCCTCTGTGCAGCCTCAGTGGCCTAATGGATAAGGCACTGGCCTCCTAAGCCAGGGATTGTGGGTTTGAGTCCCATCTGGGGTGATTTTCAGCACAGTGGTGCAGTGGAAGCAATATGCAGTACAACCATGATACTGGTCTTGTTTTAGAGGTATTGTAACATAAGAACTACACATCTCAGCTTACTTGGCATTATTCTTCAAGTTTTCTGGACTTACATAACCATAATTAGTTTCAGCCATAATAATCAAATAGTTTCTTGCTTTTGTTATTTGACAGCTTGTGTTTTGAATAGAAAAAACATGCAGGATTTTAATATGTTGTAAATCTACACAGGTATCCATGTTTTCTTTCTGTGTGTGCGTGAGCTGTTAGGTGGCAAAGTCTGAGGTTGTAATGGTTCTGTTGATGTGTGGGCTCAAGCTGGCAGAGGCAGGGTTATAAAGGTGTTTTTTGTCGATTGTTAAGGCCTTTGCCTTAATCCCTTAAGCCCTCGGCTATTTTCTGAAATTTCCACCTGGAAAACAAAAACCTCCCAAATTTAGTCAGTAACACGTCCACAGCTGTGAGGCCAAAATGAACAGCCCTGGGCTCTATTGATCAGAGGCACTTGTGAGAATTTAGAATTCAGTAAGTCGCCAGATGAGAAT